TGCAGCCGTTGCTGATGATTTTTAGTTTTCTAAAGCTGGTAGCTGCTTTTTTGTGACCTATTCTAGCTTAGAAATGTGAAGCGTGCACTAGTAGTATGCAGAAAGCTAGAAACTATCTTCTCATCCGTACCAGATGTAATCCTTTGGTATGTGAAGATGCTTATGTGAAAACACTTCTGTGTTTCTATGCCTGTGTACATTTGAAACAGTTTCCGATCAACAATATATTGCACTTGTTTGAATCAATCACATAGAGCTGTGGTGACATTCGTTATTCATGAGTTGCTTTGAGAGATTGTTGATATTTGATTGTGTGAGTAAAAATGCTTTGATGTTACTACCCTGTACAGCATCTATCTGAAATAGTTTTGCAATTGTCCGGTGGAATATTTCATACTACTAATGTTTCTTGTCTTCAATTTTATTGTTCTTTTTCTTCATCTGTGGAATATTGAGTCTGTTTAGTATGGTTATACACACTTACACAGACATAAAGGGTAATTTTACTCCCTCCATTCCTAAATGCAAGTCTTCTTAGAGATTCCAATATGGACTACAAACGGAGCAAAATGAGTGAATCTACACTCTAAAATACGTCTATATACATCCGTATGTAGTCCGCAATGGAATCTCTAAAATGACATATTTAGGAACGGAGGGAGTATTTATTTATGTGTGCCACTAGTACCTGTTAGCGGTGCTAAAGACTTCGCTGATAATGGTATCATATTTCAGATTGGTGCTGATATCAGGAAATTCTCTTACCGAACTGGAATAAGAGTTCATTCAAAGATGAAAGGGAAGATGCAGGTGATTGCCGTTTGTTTTCTTCTCTCTTCCTCTGGCAGAGTTTCACATTTCCATTAAGTTCTTTTCTTTGCTGCTGATTGTAGAAATGTCAGCTTGAAGCGAGCATTGATATAGTTGTTTCTACACCCCTACGTCTTATCAACATGGTTAGAACCTCTCAAGTCTCCCTTGAGGCAGTAAAGTATCTGGTCATATGCGAGCTTGGTTTGATGCTGGATATGGGGTTTGAAAAAATGTTAAGGAAGATAGTTGATGACATGCATATTCCACCGAAATCTGCCAGACATACTTTACTTTCCAGTGGTACTTTCCAACCAGCAGTACAGGTAAGAACAATGTTGTCATGCCTTCTGTTTTCTGCAATAGCTCCAAACATTCAACTGGATCAGTATTTTTTATTCTTTACTGTACGAAGCATGCAATTCTCTTTACTGTTTGAAGCATTTTTTCATTTCATATTTTTGTTTACACAACGTTGGCAGCATGTTCTCATGTCTCACTGGTATCCTCTATGATCTTCCCCAAGTTACTATGAGCTGTGAGAAATGAGAATCATCGCTGTCATCTTTTCTAGTATGAGCTGTACTGTGTCAGTGAGTTCCTTGGAATGTCCTTGCCACCAGACATGGTGTGGAGGCTCCAATATCAGATTGTCATGGGTGGATAGATCATAGCTAGTTTTCCAGCGGCTGGACATACGATATGAACTCTGTCTGTATCCGGTCCTGCCTATATGCTTGCAGGGCAAAACTGGTTCCAGCAGAAGAGTCAGGTGCCTCGTTTGATTAAAGCGCCAGCAGGTCGCTCAATAATTCTTTTTACTCGTGACCATTATAACCAGAGTCTTCACCAGTCTTCACAGTGAAGCTCGGAGTGTGGCCATGATGGCGGGGTGAGGCATTGATCAAGCCAAGGATTGATAGACATCGACAAAGCTCGCATGCTGCAGATCGCTAGGATCAATATGTGACACCATGCTTGGCGATGAGCCACCGCTACCCCTGTCCGACATGGATGTCGTTGGTCAGGAAGCTCAAGCTGGTCACACCATCGATCTCGTCCCACCTCCATGACGCCGTGCTTGTCGGCTGTCCTGTGCCGAGCCGCCAGTTCTCATGAGAGCCTTAGCTCGGAAAGTTAATGCTTAAGCTAGCTGAGCCCTCCTCCATGCCCTGTTGCCTAGACATTTAGCTCGTACGCCTTGTGTGGATAAGCAGGAGGGAGGTAGGGAGGGAAAGGGGGAGGGAGAGGGAGACTGTCCTTTCTGAACTCACGCTACACGTTGGTTAGAATAGATGGGGCGTCTATAACAACAATAATTCTTTGGTATACTCACTCTGTCTAGTGGGACTGCTATTTACTAACATATTGATACACATTTGATTATGCCTGCTTAGATACGTTTGACTTCTATCCAGCTTCTTTACTTTGATCATGTTTGCAGAAACTGGCTTGGGATTTCTTGTCAGATTACTTATTTATCACCGATGGGAGGTTGGAGTTCAGTATTGGCCTAACTAAGCAGAAAATTGAGCTTGCCTCTGAAGCAGAGAAAAGAGGCCTCCTGCTAAATCTGTTACAGAAGCAATCCGTCTCTTCTGCCGGCATGGTAATACTTGTTGCCATTCTAAGTGTAACAAGTACATTGGTCTCTGTTTGCTGCTTAAAGAATTCTCAAGTTACCTTGCATGCTTGTCTAGCAGAGCCAACTCATAACAGTAGTTTTTGTCGAGACAAAAGGAAAGGCTGATTCATTGAAGAATTGGCTATGCAATGAAGGTTTTCCTGCAACAGTGATCTTTGCTGACAGTTCACAGCAGGTACGTATGTTTATATGAACTCTTCACTAATTGCCTAACTTGTTTTTAAACTGCATTGTTTGTGTTATAAAGAAGATTTTAACCTAAATTACTCTCATCTGCCATGCTGGTCTCATACTTCCTGTAGCTTTATATGTATGACCTTCAGCGTTCAGTGTTTGCTAGGTTCTAGTAAGAACTTACGGTTCTGCACTTCTGCTTGGAAGACCTACTATAATGCTTCATCTATTCTCTTACATGCCTCTTGTGTTCACTTGTCTCGTTTAGCTGAATGAGTGAACAAGTATTCTGAGATTGCATCTAGTCAAGGCTGTTATTAATCATGCAAATAGATAGATAATGGGCCTTAGCATTATCTTGGCTCTTTCATTACAATTGTCTGTTGAGCCGAGAGCAGTAAATATTTAACTGTTCTGTTTGTCATCTTTAATTATATATTGATCATATGCAGCCTCACCAGGCTTGGACGTTGCAAATGTTGATCATTTGATTAACTATGATCTTCCAAAGTCTGTTGAGGAATATGTTGAGAGGATTAGAACATTTGGGAGAGTTGGTTCTGCCACTTCCTTCTTCACTGAGTCCAACCGGTCCATAGCAAAAGGCTTGCTGGAATTGATGATTGAGGCAAATGTAGAAGTGCCAGATTGGCTGTTGGACTATGCTAATCCTGATTATACTTGTAGGTGAGTGATTATCTCAGGCTCATGCTAATGATCCTAAGGACCATCATAATTTTATCCAGATTTATTTTGTGTGCAATGTTTACTAACTTCATTATATTGAAAGAAACTGTTTAGATCTGTGGAATTGGACTCAAAAGATGAGGAGAATGATAAGTACAGATATGATTTAGCTCGGTATGCAAATCCAACACATTAAGTTCTGTGTCAAGTTCGTTTGAGCGTATAATAACATCTAGTGTTTAATACTTCATAAACTGCATATGCAGGTCTCTCGCCTCACGCAAGATTGATAACATATACGATCTGGCAGGTGTTTGGGCTGAATTAAATTGCAGGAGAAATAAGCAAAGCTTTGATGATAGTAGGATCACGACAATGTCTAAAGATTGTTGTATTGCATTTACACAACAAGAAGAATACAAGGTATATATTCAGTTGTCAACTTTGAAGTTGCAGTGCATCTTTCATGTGAATATACTTACATGTCTGTATATTTGTTTTGATAATTGTTGCAGTTCCTCAAGTTCTATTTCGTCAAGGTTACTCAGCATTGTTATAGCCCTGAAAGTTATGGAAAAACCTATTGGCATTACAATTTCATTGCCAAGATTAAGAGTAAATCAGGAATCTGGACTGAAGGTATCTACTTTGCTGAAAGAAAATTAGAATGTGGTGTGGAGACATTTTGTTGCTGTTTCCTGGAGCCGTCAGACAATGGTGAGTGCTATGGATGTCAACATGGGAAGGTGAAGGTTCGGCATCCAACTAGAGGTGACTATGAGAGAGGAACACCTGATCATGTTTGGCTTTCCGATGGTGACTGTGAAATTAGTGATGATGATATGGTGGACTTCTAAACTTGTGTAACATTGCATTTTCAATTTGTGTACTGAAACACCATACTTGTTGCGTGAGTAGGCATTAACCTTTTACCACTTGTACTAAGGTTAATTCCTCTCAATGAGAGTACAATGACATGTTTCCATTTTCATTTCAAAGCCGTACAATGGCATGTTTATATGGAACTCAAGTCACCGAAAGGGTTACTTCCTCTGATCCATATTACTTGTTGCTGACTTGGTACAAGTTGTACTAAGTCAGCAACAAGTAAAATGGATTGGAGGAAGTATTTTCTTTTTGAGATGCAACAACTTGTCTGAGCAAAGCTAGGGATTACCATGGGTTCGAGCTTGAATTGCACTGATACTGACATAGCTTCTCCCTGAAAACATAAATGTAGGAAGACACTGAGGAAGCTTTTCGTTATTAGAACTGATAAACAAGTGGCAGCATTGTCGCATCCAGCAGTTGGCTGCCTTGCTAGCCTGTAGGATCCGTGGGTGTTGAATAGTTCGAGGCTCCAAGGATGAGTACAGAATCACCAAACAAAGCTAAATGCGTCAACTTGCGAATACTCACCCTGTGAGGACAAAGTTGAGACACTTATTTTGAGACGGAGGGAGTAGCTCGAAAGGTTTGACCAAGTATCGTTAAGAGGCTAGTCAACATCAACCCTCTGTCCCAAAATAAGTGTCTCAACTTTGTACTGATTTTAATACAAAGTTGTAGTATTAAACTTGAGACACTTGTTTTGGTTTTGGGACTGAGGGAGTAGCTCGGAAGGTTTGAGTAAATATCGTTAAGAGGCTCTGAACATCTCTGGAACACCTACCAAGATGGAGCAAATTGCTTTGGCGGCTCCGAGTGAAAGAGCAAATTGCGGATCCGACTGGAAGTGTTTGGGAGCTAGTAGCTCCGACTAGTTGCAACGCCTATATCTGGTTGCAACATGATCTTTGAGCAGACGGAGAAAGAAACTCAGCTCAGCAACCTTTCTCCTTTGTTGATCATTAAAATGAAAAGTCTAATTTCTTGGCTAGGCCAACATTTGTCTTCATGGAATGTGGAGGGGTCACCAATCAACTTCCTTTGTGAAAGTGCATGTAGCTAATTTTATTTTGGTGTGCCGACAATATAGTTATCGGTTGCTAAAAGTTTATCTTAGGATATTGGTTCCATGAAGATCATGTTGAAGTTGTCTGACCCCCCTCCCCCCATCAGGTAGTTAAACGCCGCTAGGCTACCCGCCCATATGAGGCACTTGTGTGCGGTAAGCTTTCTAGATCGTTAGATTTTTTTTACAATGGTACAATTTTTACGCTGGCAATCAGATCATCATCAAAACCTCATCCCTTTTTAATAGTATTGACTTTCCTATGACTCAATATAATCTTGGATCACTTAACCAAAAAATGTAGAGTCTTGAGCTTTTACCAATCCATGTCCTTAGCATTTTGAGGGGTCCCACTAGTCCTTGCCATGCCAAACATTGGACTTCCTGAAATCTTTAACTTGAATGGACATTAGTTCAATGTGATATATGTTGTTATGAATTACTAAAACAATCCGGGGATTAATTGCACTTTCAATCTCCAGTTTTTTGGTAATTGATGACAACATATAGATCAAAGCTTCGACAAATGATTAAATAAATGAAATACATCGTCACTTTGAGAAGTATGTGATAAGTAAGAGTCCTCTCTAAATTTGTGCATTATTAAAAATTTGCGTTTGAATGCAAATGCACAATCAATTAGGAGCATGAGTCATTCTTCCATGTCACATACAACCTAGTGAGCGCACAAAATGATATGGTTGAAATAGTAAGCACGCATCACCAAAAGCACAAGTGTATGATCGTACAAAGATAATGATAAGCATTGTGCATAACATGAAGCATACTATCTCGCAAACATAATGAACAAAGTAGCAGCAAAAACTCAAAGAAATCAACCGGGAAAAAGCAAGACTCTCTCTCTCTCAGCCTAATGATCTATACAAATTCTCCCCCTTTGGCAACAAGTACCAAAAAGCTCGAATATGATAGAACTATGTGTAAGTGCATCTAGTGCCACCCCTAGTTGGTTTTGGAGTATTAACGACAAATATGGTTGAGGGACTAATGTGTTTGTGAGTTTCACAGGATAACACAGGTAGAAGTCCCTATTGATTCGGTTTACCCATCGAAGATGACCCTTAAAAATGTATGAAGACATTAAAGACAATGATGGTTCGCAAAGACATTCACGTCGAAGATAATGACGTGTGAAGACATTCGCTTGAAGAAATGGAGTGCGAAGACGTAGTTTCTTTCGTAGTCTCTCTCTCTCTCTCTCTCTCTCTCTCCAGCCTAATGATGTATACAAATTCTCCCCCTTTGGCAACAAGTACCAAAAAGCTCGAATTGGATAGAACTATGTGTAAGTGCATCTAGTGCCACCCACTGGTACGCGTCGGTGCTATACAAACGGTTTTTAACCCCTTTCCGCGACGGCATTTGGAACCGTCGCCAAGTGAGTGTGGGCGATAGGGGGGTCCTTCCCACATGGATAGGCCCTCCTGGCACATAGGCTGGGGGAAAATGAGCTCGTGTGTGATCGGGCGAGGCATCAAAACCCAGTCGTTTTTGTTGTTATGTACATCCCATATGGTGAATCCCAGAAAAATATTTCCGTTCGTATGTATATCACACACAGTCAATCCAAGGTATACATTTCCGTTCTTATGTACATCCCACACAGTCAATCCAGGGAAAACGTTCTCGTTCGTATATACATCCCACACAGTTTTATGTATAGGCTCGTGTGTGAAAGGTGTAACTATCACACACGCTCTGCCTTGGTTAACCGTTTGCTTTTATCAACTACATCACACACGATTTGATGAAGAAAACTATGTGGCATTGGGCTATCCATCACAAGCGCTTTTACTGCTAGAATCGTTTGCAAAGTTTCATGACCCATTTAGCAGGTTTATTAGTTTACAATTAATAATTCTAGTATTACGCAAATTCACATTTCATATTGAACAGTTGTTTGCCAATTTCATATCAGGCACATAAATATATTTTAACATCACAGTACGATAGCTACGTGAAAACAACACAATACAACATATAGCTAGTTCAACTTCATAATAAGACTATTAGAACATCAGAAGCTATAATTAACTACAACAACGCTACAAGTTCTTACTCATGTACTATAAATAACAAATTGAACATTTTATGAGGAAGGTAAATATAACTACAACAACATAGCGATAGTGTTTGGATGACAAAAAATCGATACTAACATGTGTGTACATGCACACATTTAGTAACATAGAACTAATAGCACTAAGACAATTCACTATGTATGCCAAAACTGGTGTAAAGACAACTGTTGCTACATCTCGCACCGATGCCCTGCACTGGCGAGCCGATGCAGTGGAAAAAATCAGGGACCCGGACTCCAGAGCACCTAGTTGCTCCGATGCCCAGTTCCTTCGTGCCATAAAGATTTAGTATTTGACTGCTTGACTGCTCGGATGTGTGGACCAAAGTTGGCTGCACAAAGTGCTGAAGCGGTGCCAAATAATTTTCTAATGGCACCGCTGATGAGATGGCAACATTTTTAGATAATAGGTAAAAACTGTGACACTGTCTTAGGATGCGTTTGGTTGAAGGTCTGGTATGAATGGGTTGGAACCATGACAGTGTCTGAATCACATCTAACAAATGATTTGTAACAACGAAAGAGGGTCTAACCTTCTCTGCACATACCAGAAACTTCCTCCCACCGTCCACAGATTCAAACGCAACTAGCTTCACACATGGAGATTGATGATGACAACAAGCAGACAGATCTTCAGCCACCCCGCTCCATTCGTTGCAGCTGATGGTCCTAGGGAGCTACAAGAGGAAGAAATGACTCAAATCGACCGCCGGGTTAAAATCCTTCATTCCAAGTCATAGCCCGAGAGAGAGAGAAGAGAGGCATACCCGAGTGGTGAAGGAGTCGTCGGAGGAGGAGGAACCGCTGGAGAGGTCATTGAAGAAGACCATGGCGACCTGGCGGTAGGATGCGAGACGGCGAGAGCGAGGAAGCAAGCGAGGAAGAGGCTATATCTTAGGAAGAAAGGAAGGAAGGAGAAAACATGGGAAATGTGACTTGTGGTCGGGGAGAAAAGGGGGTGGGGAAGGGGGAGGGGGGCGGGGGTAGATATTTTGGCGGTAGGCCAAAAATTTGGAGATGTGGAGGGAAACTTTGCGCGCGGTGTCGCCGGACACCATTCACTTTCAACGATTGTGTGCATCGCAAACGATTCTTCTGCTTTACGCGCATGGGATGAGTTTGATAATTCAAATTTTGGTGGAAATTTCCCCGGGTACGTCATTGCATAATTTAACATCACTTGCTAATATGGGCACACAAAAGAGCGTACAACACACATACCACACTTACTGAATCAAGCAATTTTAGTAATTAAACAGAGCCAGTTGACCTAAACATTGCTCTAACAAAAGACCAGCATTAAAAACAAAGCCTAAGTACGCATAATTTTAACAAATACGCCGCCGCGCCGGCCTATGCATCGTCGGTGTGAGATGAGACATCGATGACTTGTCCTGGCGAAATGCCGCCATTGGTGGACTCCGCGCCCCCCCTGCTGAAGTCGACCGCGTGCTCGTCCTCATCCTCGGTGCCGTCCTCACCGCCGATTCCTAGATGGACAGACTCTTCTCTACCTCAACCTCGGCCATGCACAACTCCTCCTCCCGGCACTCCTCGATCTCCGCCGCCTCCTGCATCTGGAGCTCCCGCTCGGCGATCTCATGAGGAAGCAGGTGCTCCATGGCCACCGCGGCCTTTTCTTACGTGGCTTGCATGCTGGATTTCGAGGTGGCTTGGAATATCTTGGCGTGTGCGTCCTCGCTCTTGGCGTGGATGGCCTCGACCTGGGCCAAGGCGACAATCGACGGCACGGATGGCAGCTCGAGTGCTCTCGGCGTTTGCAGATGCCGTCCCAACAACAA